TAAGATGGTGACAGGCTGGGCCAGGCAGCCCCTCCATCACTCCCCTTTACTCCAGGCCACTGTTTCCATGCACCTGAAGAATTAAAGTGGTGCCATCCTCAGCCAGTCTCTCCCCTCCCCAAGTTCTTAGGCCTCGGATGTGTGCCCAAAGGTATTGTGAGCTATTGTGAGTTGAAGGCAAAAGCCAGAGGGCTTTATGGGAGAATTTCCAGCTATGGATTAAACAGGGTGCAGGCTGGCCGCCTTTAATATGTTCTACAACCTTCGAGCAGAATCTCAGTCTTATTTGGATGGTTCAGTAATACCAATTAATCGCTGTGTTTTGGGCATGGTATCTGAACTCCAAATGACTCCAATGAGCATTATAAGCCTCTGTCCTAAACTCCCTGCAGCCAGCAATAAAGCTAGTCTACCTTTTCTAATGCTGCTGAGGGTTTGATCTGGTTTTGGCCATGCTAAAGAAGCCGACATGCAAACACAGAGACTGGCAGTGCACATATAAGAACAAGGAGATCATTGGTGAGGGGAAAGGCTCAGAAAAGAAGAGCAGGCAGGGGGTAGCGCACGTCCTGTTGGTCAGTCGTTTGCTGCGCACTCATCCCTGAGCCTCTGTTCTGCCACCACCCCCACTATGTCTGAGAATTGTGCCAGCCACTTGCCGGAAAGCCAGGCAATTGAATATATTTGCTGAGGGACTTTAAATGTGCCCAAAGCACAGCTAAGGGGGCTGGGCAGGGTTGAGAGAGCGAGAGAAACAAAGCAATTGAAACATCTGCTAAATGCCAACTGTATTGGATTTTTACCGTTAATGGATCATTTGCAGCCAGACCGGCCAGAGGAAAGAAGGCCTTTGCTAAAGGCTGGCTGCTGAAGCAAGTGAAATCCTAACTTTAATTTTTAATGCTGCTTATTTAGGAAGCAGTCAGGGAAATGTGTGTGCATCCTAGCAATAATGAAAAACCAACAGGGGAATTTGTGATATTATTTTCTGAGGGTGGGGCACCCTCTTGGGCGCACCAATCCCCGAATGACTAGCTAACTCCTTTCTGGAAGTATGGTTTCTCAGGGGCTGGTGAGGAGCCAGTCAGCCTTACAGCCCCTTTATTCATGTAATTTCTGAAGGAGGTTTTGGTCTTTGGCCTCATTTTCACCAAGGTAGTTAACTTCTGGCAGGACTGTACCACTTTCAGCTGCAGGTCGATGGCCACATGATTGATTGCTCTTCTGTTTAAAAAAGGGGGTGGAGAAAGAGAAGATAAACCTTACTCCTAGAAGATTAACTGTAGTAGAGAAAGAATAAAAATTGCCTTCTCTCTGCTAGACAAAATTAATGGCACTGCCTAGAGGAACGCACAGTCTGAACTTGTACAGAATGACACATATAGGAAGACACAAATATGCTGGAAATGGAGGAGACCAGAGGTGGCAACATCTCCTCCTCTTCCTCCTGGCGTCCTAGCTCAGCGAGAAGGCTGACATATGCAGCAGAGCCAAATTGCCCAACTGACCACGAGGACAGATGAGCATGAGGTGATGACCTGCCATCCCTATCCATAACCACATACCTGAGTTTGAGGCACAGCAGCTGCCCCAAATCCCAGAGTGGCCTGTGAAATATGCTTGCTCAGGAATGAGGTCCTCTCCTCAGCTCTTTCGGCTGAGGCAGGGCAGGTGGCTGGGCAACCACTGGCCTAAGACTCAAAAGATCCCTCCCCCCATGTATCCAATTTCCACCACAAGGATGACTTTGCTGAAAAGTATCCTGGAATCTTAGTTTGGCCCAGCATGAAGGGCAAACCAAGAGCAAATGCCCCATGGCCTAGACAACCCCTTCAGCTGCGTTGTAAACTGCCAAACTCTGCACTGCTGCTTGCTTCCAGCCCATCCTGCAAAACCAAACATTCAATTTAATTGCAGATGACACAAAAGCCAGTATTTAGGGCATAAATCCCCCTTGCTGACCTACATATTCGATACTGATGTCACCAGGGTCAATTTTCTAGTGATTCTTATCCCTTTCCACTTATATTTTTATATTTATGAAAACATGTGGAGTAAATACTTCTGCAAATATCCAGAATGTATCCATATTTTCAAATTGAAAAATGATGTCGGGAAAAGAGAAATGCACCAGAGCTGAAATCTTCATGCACTATGGCCATCTGCAGAGATCGGCTACCACATACATCAGGCATGCCATGATGCGGGTGACCATTTTTTTCCCTCATGGCAAAGACCTTGTGTAACAGTCCTTTCTGTATACTTATCTTAAATGTGGTAATCCTGATGCTGGTGAAGTAGATTTTCATTAAATTTATTGCCCAGAACTCTTTGAGAAAAGGAATAACTGAGAAAAAATAGTAAAGGGCCATTAAACAAATCATGGCTATAAGAAAAGATCCAAAATCCACATTAGAGCAATACGTGAACTGGGGCAATCGAAAATAGCATTTGTCTGGCTCCAGATGTGGAAAGTAGAATGGGCCAAGAACATCTGCTCCAATTCGTGGCAGCGGTATGCACCCACCTCATTTTCCTTTGCTGGCTCCATCCCATTAAAGAGGAAAGATATAGAAATGATTTTTTAAAATCAGTCATAAAATGACATTTAATGAGGACAGGAAGAAGGGAGAGGCGTTTCATCAAGGAACCTGGAGAAGAAAGTAGTCATGGTACAATTGTCAGGGATTTAATCTGTCATTTGGAGATGCAAGGTAGTTGATAAAGCATCATGTTTTTCTTTTGGCAATATTAGACTTAACGTGTGAAAAAGCTGAAGCAAACGTTTTAATTTAGTAAACTAAATCTACCATCTTAATAGACCCACTAGCATGTAAGAATGATATTTGGCGTCTTAGACTAAAATAATTCTGAGCAGTAGCAGGAAGGGAACTGGTACTAGTTAGGTGAAGGTTGTGGCTTATGATGCTGAACCTCCCCCTCCTATTCCCTGAAATTCCCTCACTGGTCATTACACAAACACTAAGCGATTCTGTGAAACTTCTTCATCTGATCATTAAGCCCACCCAGCTCCCCCATGGGCTTAGTAGCCACAGCTTAAAAAATTATATCCATGTGTTCACTGAGAGGGAAAAACCCACCCTCCTGACTGTTGTCCCCACTCTATCAGCCTGAAATAAGGACGGGAAAGGGGAAGTGGGGGGAGAAAGCTGCTATTCATACTTGATTATAGATATGTGCATGCACATATTTCTAGTGAGATATATACTATATAAATATATGTGTCAAGCACCAGGGATTGACTATACCTCTGTAAATGGAATAGAAAATACATTTGCCGATGCCTGAGCCAGACTTTCAGGGAATGGACGAGTTCCACCAACCTCCCTTTCATTTAGGCTTTTTACAGCCCAGTTTGCCCCCTGGTCTTTTATTACAACGGAACAATTGGTGACTTTGAACGTTTAGCTCTTTGGTTCCCAGGGCAATGGCTGAGCTACAGAATCAGGTTTGAATGGCAGTACTTAGCCTTAGCACACAGGACGCCATGAAAAAAGCCGCAGAGCATGAGCAGAGTGCTTTTCCATTCATTAACTGGAGCCATATTTAGACCAGACATCTATAGACATTCCAGCATTTATCTAATGCTCTTGAATGTTCCAAGTAGTGCAGGTTTCCATTTTTGGAGTGCCCTTGTGACCACAGCCCCCTCCCAGAGCAGGCCCACCTGCCGCCACTGAAACCCATTCAGTTTCTGTAACTGCTCAGAGCATAAGGTGAGCAGAGGGTGTTGCAAAGTCTCCTTGTCCAGGGCACCAGCTGCAGCCTCAGAGAACAGATGAACAGACATACTCTGCAAGGAGGAGAGCTGGGCTGGTGGGTGAGATTAGGCTGCCTGCTGGGATGTGGGTCTGCACAGATGCCAACAACTCCTACCTCAAAGCACCTTACCCCCATTTTTATCGTGAACAACAAGGCTTTTGAGAAGGGCCCTCACTAGAGACACAGGAGGAAACTTAGCTGTCATGCAAGAAGAGATTTGCTTTTATGGATCAGTCTTTCATTAAAGAACAGAAAGCAGAGAGAAGGAGTAACAAGAATTTCTCCCAGTGGGATGTCCAGCAGTGGGGCCCTCAGGGATCTGCACTGGGACCAGTGCTTTTCAAGTCAATGATCTGGAATTGGGAGGATAACAATAGCCATGTTTGCCAGTAACACCAAATTATTAGGGTTATATAAAGGAATTGTGAAGCACTCCAGAAGGATCTCTCCAAACTATGAGAATGGCCTCCAGTCGGCAAATAAAAGTTCAGTGTTAGAAAGTGTCACATGCTGCAAGTTTACCCAGAAAATCCCAAATTCTGGTTTAAGCAGATGGGGTCTGAGATAGCATGAGTGACCAAGAAAAAGATCTTAGGGTCGTGATGAACAGCTTAATGAAACTTTTGACCCAGAGTGCAGCTGGTGAGAAAAAGGCAAACTCTGTACTAGGAATAATTAAGAGTAAAAGGTAAAGCTGTCAGTTCTCCCCTTTGCAACTCTAGAGTCCAACTACCCTTGGAATCCTTTGCACAGCGCTGCCCCCCACCAGGTTCGCTGCAGAGGTGACACTGAACCCACAGCTGCCGATTACAAATCCTCTGACGCTTGCTCGGGGCACGGTCTTCCTTCAGAGGCCCATCAAGCCAGGCATCTCCCTCCAGGTGTGGCTCAACTACCCCATCCTAGCGAAGAGCTCCCAGTCCTATTAGGCCGCCCGGCTCCTGCTGCTGCTGCTGCTGCTGCTGCTGCTGCTGCTGGGCTGTGCCTGTCCCCGCCCCCGACTTGCGCAGCGTCTGGCGCTAGCCCCGATGCCCCCATCGACCCATGCGGCGTTCATCGCGCCAGATCGATGCCTGTTGGCGGCGGATCGTGCTCCCAGCGACTGCTGTTGCTAGGGCGGCCTGTGGGACCCAAGCCAATCGCCGTGCCTTGAGGAAGGGGCGGCGAAGCTCCCGGTGGGTCGGCCTCTCCCGCCCATCACCTCCATCACCCCCGGCCTAGGCGCAGCTGGACACCGCCTCGTTGCAGAGAATTCTCGTGAGGCGGTAAATACTGAAAGCCGCAATGTGGGCGCGGCTTGCTAAGTGCGAGTCCTTTCCCTTTCCGACCTCCAGTTGAGCTCCAGGCGTGGCGCTAGAGGGCGCGGCGGTGCACCGAACTACATGGTGGGGCAGAGTGGGGTGAGAAGCTCTTTCTGGCTACGAGCGGCCCCGCTCCGCATGTGCCAGGGGCATCTCTTCCTTTTGAGTAGCTGATGCGATAGAGGAAGCGTGAGATCCAACCTTGCAAAGATGGAGCTGGTGGTGGCGCCTTTAGCGATTGTTCCTCTGTCTTGCCTTCGCAAGCCCTACGGGAGGGACGGTTTCTGACCAGGTCTGTGCTCACGCTTTTCCTTGCATACGAAAACTGGAGTAGGCGGAAAGAGCATCTGCGCACTCCTGTTTTGCTTCCAACGCCAGGCTCACCGTGGGTGAAGCCACGCTCCGAGCCAGCCACATGATGGCTGAGGCCAGACGCAGCTAGATCTCAGCACGGAATACGAAGAGCTAGTTTTGGAGCTCTGCCTTGACCATGATACAATGAGCGGTATGCGCACAAGCAGTTGAGGTTGCCTTTAGTACGTTTAAAAAGCGGATGGGAAGATAGTAAGAAGACGCTTCTTGGCGCTATTCGAAAACAGCGAGTAGAGAACTTTATTTTCTACAAGGGAGGAATGCAACAGAAAAACGGGATGACCTTGACTGCCGCCTACTGGGCATAGTACGCCATGATACTGCAGCCGCTCACGGGAGCGGACCGCCCTGGCCTCTCCTCCTCCTACCTCTGCTCGGTCTAGACAAAGGATGACTCAAGCCTTTTGTGTGCGTGCAAGAATTCACTGGTGGTGTCTGGCCAAACCGTGACACCGCGCCCGGTGTGTTTAAGTGGGCACCAATCCCGTTTTGGACAGCCCAGGTCTCAAGTAGGAGCAGCCCTTCACAAGCCTGATTTGTGTGAGACCTTGTAAATAAATTGGCAGATTTTAGTTGCTGTGTCGCACCTGAAGCCAGTTGTCAAGGGTTCCCTGCGTATAGATGGGCTTTGATGGGTGCAAAAAGGACAAAGCAAAGGAATGGCGTACACTGGCAGCCTATGGACATGTAGAGATATTTGAGGAACTGTCCTGGGCATAACCAGAGATTGGCTTATGGCTCTCGAGATGTTCTAGCAGATCCTTTCCAGGCAGGCATAGTCAGAGACAGGGGACCTGCCCAGAGGTATTTTCATCAGTGGTTCAGATGGCAGCAACTGGAGGCGCCTGCTTCACTTTGAAGCGATGCCAGCTACCAAATATAAAATATAAGCATATTTTTAAATTTGCTAAATTAAAGTTTAGCAAAGGGTGGTAGGGACGTGGAGGCATCCCGGTTGTCATGAACACCACATGACCAACCTTTGGAGCAGGCTGTAATACATTTTAGCCAGACATCATAAAAATACACGACACATCCCTTCTCCCAAGAGAGGCAAAGCAGACTCTCTGTCCAATACTGGGTTTGTATTTATGTAGAAATGTCTGCAGCAGAGCTTAAAGCAACTGCAATCATTAGTGTATCCATTCAAATTCACAGTCCCTTTAATTATTCTGTCACCCAGAAAACCATTTGGCAGAAGCCTTTCTTTTCTTGCATCAGGGGCGGAATTCCAAGTTGCAGACTTAGCAATATTCATCCATCCATTTATGTTGCTTGTTGGACTAGAAGAGGCCAAAATCTACAGGCAAAAGACAAGAATAAAGCAAGTTTTGATATGCAGGACTAGAAGCCCTGCACAATGGCACATTCACCTTACCTACAAATGCATTGATACTGGGATGCCTTCATAGCTGTACACAGAAGCTGGTCACATAAACCTACTGAAGTGCTTAAAAGAGCAGCCTGATGCTGTGAAAGCATCTTCTAGGTCCTTTTTGATCACTGCATAGTGTGTACAATAGAGTACTGCTTTCAGTTCACTTTTTGTTCATATTGCTAACTGTGTCTTTGACAATGCAAAGAAATATTTTATTGCCTTTTCAGCACAGCTAAAGCATTATATAGCACAAACAGCCAACATGCACCCCCCCCACCCTATGATTTTTGCTATAACTCTCATCATCCCTAACCATGGAAAGGATCTGCTAGAACATCTTAAGAGCCATCAGCTGTCCATCCCTGACTTACAGAGCAGTACAGGGTTAGGTGCTAAAATGGAAACTATTGGAATTCATCCACTCTCTGCACCTCATTAAATACCAGATCTAGCCCTGAAGTGCTGAATGCTTGCTTTGCAAATGTAAACAACTTCAGAATAGTTTATGTATTAATTACATTTTTATTCCACCCAAAAGCTGAAGCTCATCTCCTTTTATGGAAGGGTAGTTAGAAGGTACCATGTAGCACAACCATCTCACTGTGAAAACAACCACCACTTTCTTTTGGACGCCATGTTTTCTAAGTAGAAGTCACTTCTCTCTTCCATTATTATATTTGTACCTATCCTAAAACACATTGTTTCTTCTCCCCACTTCCCACCCCCAACCAGTATAGCACTTCCACTATTAGTCTTTTCTTGCTTATGAGCAGTCTCGAACAAGCCTGTGGTGTTTTACACACACACACGGATCAATATAAACCTGGGAGAGTCAAGGTATCGAGTATGAGCAAAGCCAAGCAGCCTTCCACAAAGGGATCTGTCCTCTTTCCCCCATCAAGAACTCAATTTGGGTTTGGAACCCTGGTCATGTGTTGTTGGACAAAACCTTAACAGTCATGGATTTGTGCATAAAGTATTAGAATATATACTTCTCCTTTGTGCTGATGATCTTACTTCACAGCTTGTCTTCTGTCTTGGCTTTTATACAAATTTTCACATCAACTGCAGTTTGACATTTTCACATGCAACATTTATGGGGAAATCTGGATTTTAAAGCTTTTACGAAAACATTTAATGGGGTTTGGCTGATTTTTACTTTAGATCAGCGATTTTTCTCACACCATTTTCTGGTTTGTACACTAATTGTAAGTTACCATCTCTGGCAGAATGTACCACTTAAATGTTAGAACCCAGTTCATGTCCTGTTGCTTTTACAGCTTCAGAGCTGTGTGTCACTGGAAGTATTGAGTGAGCCTTAAGGAACAACACTGGCCTGCTATTCATGCGTATCAACATTATTGGTGAATAAATGTGATATGCGAGAACCCCACCAAGGATGGAATAACAATCTGGAGCACCTCATTTTGCCTCAACAATTGAATGTTTCATTATTCCCAAGGCATCATGGATCTTAAAGCTGCACTTAATTCAGCAAAAATGGATACCACAACATCACTTTGATAATGGCTTAAACTGACCAGCTGTAGGTGTAAAGCTACTAGTGCTTCTTTTCTTCATGTGTTCAGATACCTGGAGGAATGTTGCCCATGGGGTTGTGGAGAGTCGGGCACGACTTTGCAACTGGACAAATAATTCAGATACTAAAATATTACCTTCAATATTTAACGATACACACAACCATATGAATTATCTAACCATCTCTTGGAATTTAATGCAAAAGGATTTTCTACAGCCTTTCAGCACTAAAATACTAATATTAGAACATGAATTATAAAGTCACCTACAGTACTACTAAGGGTGAGGTCTTAATAGAACTTTCAGCTTTTGAACAGGTGGCTTTTAGGTATAATTTACAAATGGATAAATATATGGAATATGTAGATGCCTTTGTTGAAATATATGCAGAATTATTTTCACTAACAGTAGTATGCTATAAATACACAGGGATTTATACTATCCATAACTAGTGTTACAGATCTTTAAGTCATTCAAAAAATGGATTTTTTTCTTCTCGAATGGCTCAGTTTTGCTTCTGCATTGCATAGTAAAAATACATTTTAAAAGACCTACAATAACCTTTCCAATTGGGTTTTGTAAATATTGCGGTGAAGGCAGTTCATTTACAGTGATTCTGTTTACAATTCCATAAAGCCACAGAAAGTTTATCTAAGAGATGCTACCCCTACCATGGCAAGCCCCATGGACTTCAGTGCATGTGGTTCATAACTATTCAGTGATTAAGCATATAGATCAAAACTAAAGCTGCAAAAGTAAATCCCGGAGTCTTTCTGCAGCAGTGGCTTGCTGTCAAGGAAACCTCACAAATGTTTGCAAGATGTGACAACTTTTTAATCATGTTTTAAGAACATATCTTTTCTTGGAGTTCATTCTTGCAATGACCCATGAGGAAGATTCTTTATAACACCATTTGGAAAGGAAAACATATATTTGTATTAGTCAATTAGTATGTAACCAGATAAAGGCAGCTTTGCAAAGTGCAATCGTGTCTGATTAGGACCCAGTAGCCCTCCTGCCACCACAAGAAAATTGCTCAGGAGCTGCAGATTTGTAGGTCACTGCTCCTGCATGCTTGACTGGGTTTGTGAATGCTCGTGTTGGCCAGATGCAGAGCCATTCAAGCTTTGCCAATTCAACAGCCTTGCCAGTCCTATTCAAACATTCAACAAGTATGTTCTCAGCTAACACCAGCCCATGAGAGGCCCCTGGTCTACAGGCTCTGCACAGCTCTATAAGACAGGGCATAACTTGTTCTATAAAGAAAGGAACAAGACTGCTTTCAACTGAATAAGGCCTTTAATGAGCATCGACACAATGGGAAACAACAGGAATCCAGAAGGAGGCAGGAGTGTGAAAGCAGAAAACAACCCTAACATGAAATTAGTATTCTTCCCCATCATCCTCTCCATCAGCACTGTCTGCCCCAACCTCCTCATAATCCTTCTCTAGGGCAGCCATGTCCTCCCGAGCCTCCGA